TTTTTTTTTAACTTTAGTTGATAGGATAGGATAATTAAAATTATCCGAAACTAGCGTGCGTCTACTTCGCAGGATTAGGATAGGATTTATCTTTTATGACGTACATGTGGCATGTGGACCTCACAGATTTATCATTTATTGGCTGATAATTTTGTCTCAATCACTTTTAGAGCATCTGCAATGCTTTGGGTCTAGCTTCGTTTATGTGGCATATAAATAAACTTAAGTCCTGAATGACATAAATAAAACAATATAAAATTAACAAAATTCATTCTAATGCAAGAGATTAGGTCTCTATTTAAGTCTAAAATAAACTTAAGTGTAGATCATATATCTTTCTTGTTGTCACATCAGCATCGCTAGTATACTTGCATTTGCATTGGAGAATATATTTTTGTAGACTGAGTCTATTATCTAGGTGTCATATAATTTTTTTATTCAACTTAAAGTATTGTGGATGCTCTTAGGATCGTGTTATCTCAAGCCTACTTTCACTATTTTGTCCTCATTTTTATCAGCGAAAAGACAAAAATATCTCCACTGTCTATGAACGGAAAGGTAAATTAGACATTTCAAGTTATATCATCTCATTTAGTCCATGAGAGTAAACATTTGACTAGTTGCAGAATTTTGCGCATCCCAATAATGTAAACATTAGACAAAACACTAATGTGTAGAAATTCTATGGCACTTCATGTGACACCATATTATGGTGCCACAACATGATGTGGCACATTATGATCGATGTCACACATGATGTGTAATAGTTGTGAGACCAATCATAATGTACCACATCATGTTGTGGCACCATAATATAGTACTACATATGGTGCCATAGAATTTTTGCACTAATGTGTACAGTTGGTTGGATAAAAAATAAATGAGGCTAGAAACTCAGCAGAATTCGTGGTTTGGGATAAAATTATTTAATTCTTGGATGGCTACATAAATGAATAAGTATAATTTATGAAGTGATTGTGGGGGAAGCATTTCAAATTTCAAAATCTACGCAAAGCTTTTTATAACAAAATTTAAATACAAATTTTCAAAAATATAAAAGGGACAAAGAAAGTCGTCCAATTATCCCCCTTTTTATCCGAGCAAAAAACACGGAACCTAAACGTCGTCGTCTGGTTCAAATTCAAAAACCCTAATAAAGCAATTAAACCGTGAATCCACAATAATAATAAACTATTCAAAAAAAGGAGTAAATTCTACTCACTATCCGTTGCACAATTACAACAACTTTCCTTTTCTTTCCTTTCAAATTTTCAAATTTAAAAAAAAAAAAAAATATTTCAACACAGACGCTCCACTTTATTAAATCAAACAACCTCCCTTTCGAAATTTCCGAAGATCCTCGGACAACATTTCTTGATAACCAGCAAATATTCATCAGTCTTTGATTTTTTTAAGGAAGAAAAAAAAAAAAAATTATTTTTTTTGGGAACTTTATGCACAGATGGGAGCTTCGGGGAAATGGATTAAGACGCTGATCAGTCTCAAAAAGCCCTCCTCTGTCAATGAACCCGTAAGAGAAAAACATATGCCTAAATTTTCTATTTTTTTTTTTTAATTTTTAGGTGTGATCTTTATTGGTTTTTTAATTTTCTGTTTTGATTTAGGAAAAAGTGGGCGGAAAGAGCAGAAAATGGAGGCTATGGAGGAGTGCTTCTGGAGGGATTACGACCACGAAAGGTGCGAAAAGTGGCGGAGATGAAACTGAGGGGTCGGAGGGTTCTGCTTACTTTTATGATGCTGAGATGGCGGCAGCCGTGGCTGCCTTGGCGAAAGCTTCACCGAAGGATTTCATGGTTGTTCGAAGAGAATGGGCTGCCGTCCGAATTCAGACCGTGTTTCGTGCTTTCTTGGTAATTTTGACACTTTTTTTTGGGAGTTTTGGATAGCATTTCTTGCCAAAATCTGTTATTTTGTTTACTGCTAATGGAATATGAAAAATTGATTCTTGTTTTTAGTACATGTTAATGTTAATGTGTTCACAAATATGGTTTTGGGGACAGAGTAATCTGACTTCTACTTTCCTGAAAAATTGTTTTTCAGGCGCGAAGGGCCTTGAGGGCCTTGAAAGCTTTGGTACGGCTGCAAGCTATTGTCCGTGGGCGGCTCGTGAGGAAGCAAGCCGCCGTGACATTAAGGTGCATGCAGGCCCTTGTTCGGGCTCAAGCCCGTGTTCGGGCTCAATGTGGCCAATCATCTGCAGGAGGGGACTTTGAAAGTCTAAATCAAGTCGACCCTGTTAAGAAGGCTGAGGTTCTTGATTAATTGTTTCATATCAAAACATTCTACATTTCTGATTAGCCAAAAGGTAAAATTTACAAAAAAACATTAATTGATTGATTACCCAGAGTGGATGGTGTGATAGCCGTGGCACGGTCGAGCAAGTGATGTCCAAGTTACAATTGAAGCAAGATGGAGCTCTCAAGAGGGAGAGAGCCATTGCCTATGCCCTTGCCCAACAGGTACTTATCTAACAACACTAACTAAATATGTTATTTCAAATAGCTTTTCAGAACTAAAGAACATAATTTTCTCGAAATTTAGCAGTTACGAAAAACCCCCATTTCATGCTCGAGACGTAACATGATTGGGACCCCAAATAGAATGGACAAGAACATAATCGGAGGCCTCAACTGGCTCGAACGTTGGATGGCAGCCAAGCCCTGGGAGACGAGGCTGATGGGAGAATTCCAATCAGACTCGTTCCAAACGCCACAAATCCCAACAAAACACGAAAAACAGCAGCGCGACACGAAAATCGGGTCCTTCTCGAGAGTGTCCGACCAAGACTCGGTCAATATAAGGCGTAATAACAACATGAAGGTCCCGATGAGCTGCCAGCTAATCCGCTCGTCATATGACCCGTGCAACGAGTCGGTTTACGATGAAAGCTCGACTTCTAATTCGTCGACCACAACTTCTGAAACTCCCACGAAGCCAAGTTATATGAAGCCGACTAGGTCGATCAAGGCCAAGCAAAAGAGTGTTGTTGCTTCTTGTAATTTGTCGGGCAATCGGTCAGTTTTGGGGAGGTCGGTGGAGGACTTGCCGCTGAATTGTAGAAAACCGAGCCCGCTCTCGAAAAAAGGGAATAATGGCGTTGGTGCGAGGAGGAGCACGGATGTTGATCTCTATTGTGTCGACATGTGTCGGGATTTGTACCCGACTACGAATGCGGGTCACTGTTATCACAAGTAATGGTGCCAATTTGCATTTTGATTTGGACGATTTTACGTAGTTTTTTGTGTTCAACAGCTTGTTGTCCCTAGTTGTGTTCTTCTTTTTGTGTTGAGTTTGGTTGGGATTTCATCACATTTGCTTCTTCTTCGTTTTTGTTTTGTTGTTATATGTTGTTGGCTTTGAGAGTAGCGAAACTGATATAGAAAGAGAATTGGGATAAGTGTGCATTTGTTTTGATGTACAATGCTATTTGTGTTCATTGTGGCGTGAGTTTGGCTTGTTTGTGTAACTTCTACAATTCGTAGTTAGCTATGCCTGTATGGCGAAAAATGAATCCTATGTTGTTGTGATTAATGGGTCAAATTATTCAAGTTCGGTATGTAATAATGACTATCAAAACACATTTAATTTGGTGGGAAATTGTTAGATTTATTTGGGGATTAAATATGTGTAATCGATACAATTGATCATTATGTTGTTTAACCAAATTAAGTGATCAAATTATTGTATAGAATTGGCTAAGGAACTTATTTTAAATTGTGGAATGATTAATTGTAGACAACAGGTAATATTATTATTTGATGACGTAAAGATAATAATATTAAACTTTAGTAACCTAATTAGCAAATAATCCAAAAATCTTGATAAATACAATGAGGTCTTTTGGATCGACAGAAGAAATCGTTGGTCCTTCCCCACTCTCTCCATCAGTTTCTTCGTTTATGTCAGAAGAAGAGAAGATATTTTTGTTCACATTCTCTCGGAAGATCTTCAAATCCCAAATCAAATTCAAGTTCGAATCCAATCAATCAAGATGGATTCATCATGGTACGCTTCCGCTATTCGATTTGAATTCTCGATTATATTCGATTTAAATGCTCTTAGGACAAAGCGATTTCGCACAAAAGTTAAATTTTATCACAAAATAGAATCGATTAATCGAAAGAGAGGGAATGCATGACGCGCGTTTGCAGGATATATAACGGCTTTATTCATTGCAGGTGGTTCTTTATTTATTCATTTAGTACATTTTGTTTTAGAAATACATGAGAGATGAGAGTTGGAGTAGAACAAGTTGGTATAGGACAGATACAAAGTAACAAAGGGCAGCTCGCTAGAGTGGAGACAAAGACTTCTCCTTATTCAAGCATTTTAAGATAGGTAGATAGAGTGAGTATTATAAAGACTAAATAGCACGCAGCTAGCACGCAAACTAGCTAGAGATGATGAGATTTGTGGGCCGGAGCTCGATCAACGCCGCACGCAGAATGCTTTAGTGCATGGGCCTGTCAGCTGCTTTCCGTTCCCTGTCAGATCCCTGCAGCCAGAGCAACAGTTTTCATGAAATGAGAAATAATCAAAGAAAAAATGGATATTTAATTAATCCGACATGAATGGTATGGTATGGTAGTACCCATACATATGTCAAATTTCGCCGGCTGGTGAAAAAATTGTTAGGCACCTTGCCACTGAATCGGTTTCCATCCAGTTTACTTTCGTCGCAAACACACGGCGATTAGATGGAAAATAAAAAATAAGATTCCTCGTCGGAATCTTTCATGTTTAGTTATTATTTGGGTAATTAAAAATAAATAAATGAATAAAGAGCGAAACTATGTAACATACAGATCTTTCAAATTGGCCAGCTTTGCCAGAGTATCGACGACAACAGTAAAGTTGGCAGACAATTTAGCACCGGCAAGCTGACTGAGAGACAAAAAATTGATGATGAAATTAATTAAGTAGGTGAAGATTAATTAGTGTATATATAGTATGTGAATTGCGAAGGAACAAATATAATAATTATATATGCTTGTGATTGGTCATATATTGTCATTACATTCCTTGTACAATGTAATTCGAGCAGACAACGCCGTTATAGTTGTAGCAGGGCGTTGTTACACCACTCTTCCAGCTCTTAAGCGCGCCAGAATTATCTGTGACTTTATTCTTAAAGGCGAGTAAAAGTTGCCCTGCAAACGCTCGAATATAGTTACAAACTTTGAACTTAGAATCAAAGTTATGCACAACGAACACGTCGAAAAATATCCAACTAATCAAATCAAGGCCGTCCTAGGGTAGGGAGAGCAATCACTCATGCTAGTGTTGTTAAATTGAACGACTCTGGCTCGACTCGAGTTCGAGGTCTTGATGAGTCGAGCTCGAGCTCATATAAAGCTCGTTTAGTTAGCTCGGCTCGTTATGGCTCGAGCTCGAGGCCTTAACGAGCCGAGTTTGAGCTCGACTTTTGGCTCGTTTATTTAACGAGCCAATCTCGGCTCTCCTTGTTTATTTATATATGTTAGTACATTGTATGCCATGCTATACAGTCAAAATTAGTGAATTAATACATTATCTTCCATGCTAGCTAATATGCTATAGAATCAAAAATTAGTGTACAAACCGTCGTCCGCCGCCGCGGGAGCAGGGTTGAACAATAAGATGCAGCATGCGAGCACCATATACACCTTCCTCGATGCTCTCTCCATAGTTACACTGAATATTATACTATGATTAATTATAACTAGCTTTAGCTTATTTAAATTATATGAGGATTTTGTTCGGGGTGAAGTTGCCCAAGTTTTCTCCCCGTTTTTATAGGCAAAGACGCCGATCCATCCAATTTGCACTGCACGCCGTCATCCATCTATTCTACGGCCAAAACGTTAAAAGTAAGCTGCTGAAATCTGACTGCCTACGTCTGAGGCCCTTTTCATATGACCTGTCATATATGACCTCTACATATTCTTGGTGCATGACAATGCCATGTGGAGCCAAATAATGATTTTAGATACAAAATATCGCCAATAATTTCTGCTGCATCATTGTTGCAATTCATTCCGTACCATCAAGAATCCATACCGTACTAAGGCCATCTCCAACCGAAAAACTCATACTCAAACTCATTTTGCAGTAACTACCCAATTTTGCAGTAATTCGTCTCCAACCGAAAAACTCATTTTTAAACCCAAAAG